TGGGGTGGTTTCTAAATCTGTGATGTGTAGATTTGGAATCAAATCAATGAAAGGAGTGACAGGTCTTTGTCTTTCTAAATCCCCACATTTCAGAGTATGATGTGTTGGGGGTGGAGACCTATCAGCATCCCTCACTCCAGTGAGAGGGGAGAGGGGCAGCATCGTGGACACTGGGATTTCCAGCCCTAAGTGATACTCTCACTGCAGCCAGGTGGGCAGGCGCGATGGATGGCCTTGGGTGGAATCCTGTAAAAGATGTCCTAACAGTGCAGAGATCCATCTCCTGGCGCGTCAGCAACATCAAAGGGACAGGAAACGTTGCTGTGAAGTGGTTGTTTTTGTTCTTTGTATTTTCTTCTCTGGAACTGAGTTTCCCGATACAACTTTTGACAAAGCACTGTGGTAGGTAATATTTTTAGAATAGAATAGAAAGATGTCTGAAATCCATTGTGTTGGATACATTGATCAAAGAGAAACAAACACACCACAACTGTGATTTTAAATTACTTTAAAACAGTTCTTAAAATTCAAGTGTGTGTTTCCTTAGAATCATGTCCAGGCTGCATGTGTTTATCTGCTTATGTCTCATCGTCCCACAGAGTACTCAAGGTGGCCAGGAAGAATGCTTCCGAGAAGCTAGACTGACAGAGAAAAACAAGGTGCCAAATGGGTGTACTTAAAGTATAACGATGATATGTTTATTTTAGTTCAAATTTAATTGGATGTGGTTGAGTCTATAAATAAAATTAGGAGTATAATAAACATTGAAGATAAAACTAGTGAAGTTTCTACATAGAATAAGCCATTTGCAATAGTGTTAGTTGTCAAGGTGACGGAGCCTAGAAGCACTTGGGAGGTGGGCCCTGCACACGCCCGTGGGGATGATTATGATAACTTTGGTAGAGGTTGGGGCTATTCCCTGGCTGGGATCCGTGACTGAGCCCATGTAGTGGAGAAGGCAGCGGAGCAGCGGCACCTGTCCCTCTCTTTGACCCCTGCCATGATGGACTGCACCCTTGAGCTGTGAGCCAGAGCTGGCCTTTCCCCTAGAGTTACTTCCCTGACACTGGTGGAGCCAAGCTAGGAGTCAGTCAGACAACAGGAGAGTCTTTAACATCTGAAATGAAAACACGCTTGAATTCTCAAAGGAAATTTTCATACGTAGACTTGAACTAAAATGAAAATACATCAAAATTTGTAGGCTATAGCTGAAAGTATCGGTTAGAGAAGAATCTGTAATACCAGAAACTTAAACTCGAGAAAGGAAAGCTGAGCCTGGGGTGGTGGCACTGTGTGTGACCGGCACTTGGGAGCCTGAGGCCAGCCTGGGTTCTGTAGTGAGGATGCTTCAGAGGATGAACAGGGCCTGGAGCTGGCATTTAGCAGCGAAGCGGTTGCCAGGCATTCCTGAGGCCCAGGGCTCAATCCCCAGTGCTGCACAGCAAACAAAATTAATAAGGAAGGAGAGAGGGTGGGGGGTAGGAAGGGGATCAGCAAGCAGAGTGGGGGAGTGCAGGAGGGGAGGGTAATGAGTAAGAGCAAAGTACAGGAACGTGTGTATAAAAATGCTGCGGGGAGACCTTATGGGATGGGGGAGACCTTAGGGAATGAAAGAAGTAAATATAAAATCAACTCAAAGCAAATAAAAAGAGGAAAACAAATTAAATAAAAAAATAACTCTTTGGAAAACAAAAGCAAAATTAAAAGCTTACAAGAAACTGGCAAAGATTAGAGAAACAGAAATAAATGGTGTGGGTTGGAATGGAGGACATGGGCACAGCCTCTGAGAGGAGCCTTGGGAATGTTCTGAACAACTCTGTGCTCATGAAGAAATTAATCGTTCTCTTATAACAAAAAACTTCAACCAAGATGGATACTGAGTCGCTCTAGAATCATTAAAGAAATTGAATTTCTAATCTCTCCAAACCCAGATAATTTCACCAGAATATTCTACCAGACAGAGGATTGGGCAACAACTTTAATTTTTTAGAGAAAATAAAAGAGAGGAAAGTATTTCCCAATCCATGTACTGAGGCTGGGGTCAGGCTGATGTTGACTTGAAAAAAATGACCAGAAAAGCAAAAGAAAAACCCAATACACACACACATACACACACACACACACACACACACACACACACACACACACACACACACACACACACCACACACACACACACGCGCGCGCGTGCACACACACATGCACACACGCGTGCACACACACACACGCACACACATGCACACACACACGCACACACACGCACATGTGCCTTGCACACACAAAACACCACTAATCAAAACAACCACAGGCTGGTGTCTCTCATGACCTAAGATTCAGCAGTCCTTCATGCAGTGTTCATGAATTGAGCACACCTGTGTATAGCAGAACACAGTGGCCCAGAAGGATTCCCTCCAGATGTATGAGGTTTGTTCAGCAAATGTCAGTTAATATATCCTGCCAGATACACAGTATTATGAAGAAATTGGATATAACATGAATCTGTACAGAAAAAGTAGTTGACAAAGTCTTGCACTAGTTTCTGATAAGAACTCTCATCAAACTAGGATTAGATGGAAAGCCTTCTCAAGCTGATAAAACGCCTATGAAAAACCTACAGCCAACATCATATTTAATAGCGAGCGACTCCATCCCACTTCCCAGGATTAGGGGAGTCGTGATGCCGTGGCCGCCCTTCTTAGGTGGCGTGGCACTAAAGTTCTGAGTAGGACAGGGGAATGAGAAGAAAGGCAGCGTTCTCGAAGGAAGCCAGCCCTGCCTGACTGTGTAGACCACACTCAGAGTTGAGTCATTCCATCCAGGCTGCAAAGTCCAGACACGGTGAAGAGCCGACAGTCAAGCTCATCAAAATGTACGACCACATATGATCACGGATCTGTGATTTTGGCATTACACCTGAAAATTCACTTTTTAAAAATCCTGGATGGATGTGTAAACTAACAACGAGTGTATAGAAACTCAAATTAAAAAAACAATACTGTGTAAAATTGTTGCAAAGAGAGTGAAGTGCACCTCAGCCCTCAGGTAGCGGGCATGTCCAGAACACTGCAGAACTCGGGGAAGAAATCAAGGATGACGGAAATGGATGGAGAGAGACACTCACTCCTGCACTGAGGCCTCACCAGCAGATTTCCAGAAACAGGCAGCTGGTTCTAAAATTTATAAAGAAAAGCAGACACCCTAAATCAGCTGAAGTAATTTTTGAAAGAGAAGAAAGCCATGGGAGGGGAGCTCTCTGTGGTGTGTGAGGACAGTGTGACCAGTGGTGGGATAGATATCTGGATGGACCAATCAGAATAAAGAATGCAGCAAGACAATGTAAACATGTCCAGGTGATTTTCCAAAGATTTGCTTTTTTAATTGTGTATTCATGTGTGTGTATCTGTGTGTAGGTATGCACACGTGTGTGGGGGGCATTGGGTCCCCTGGAGTTACAGGTGGTTGTGAGTCTGGAAGCCAAACTGGGTCCTCTGCCGGAGCAGCAAGTGCTCTTAGCGAGCCCTCCCGGATGATTTTTAACTAATGTGTGTTCAGGAGCAACAGGATGTTCAGTGTGGGGAGTGTGTGTGTCGGGGGCGGGGGTGACTCACAAGAAACAGAGTCCTCTTCCTGAGGTCCAGCATCATATATGCAAGTTAACCTCAAATTAAGTGAAACCTGAGTGTAAAATATAAAACTAAGAAATTTAGAGAAAAATATAAGTCAAAATCTTCAAGCCTGAATGTTTACCCAAGACATTCCTAGGAATAGAAAATCCGTTAACTGGAATTCATCAAAACTATTTTTTCTGCCAAAGTCTTTGTGAAGTTGACAAGAAGAACCTGTTCCCAGACCAGAGGGAATGCTTGGGAAATGTAAGCCAGCCAGGGGGAGCTGCACCAGGAATGTTTAAGGAACTTTGAAATGTCAACAGTGAATATTCATTACTAATGGGCAAAGAGTGGATGGGTACAGGGAGGGCGCCAGGTGCCCGAGAGGAGAGGGCATGAACGACATGAAGCTAAGTGCGACGCATGCGAGGCTGGACCGTGCCTCTGCATCAGCTGGACTGTGCGATGGGAAGATACATGACTAATGTTGAGTCCCCCAGGCACAGTCTGGCAGCTACCCTGGGCTTCCTGGAGAATGAATGTGAATGCTTTATTTTAGGACCTGTACAGATATGCACGGGAGTTTTATAGCTTCAGATCTGAAACGAGGCACCTTTTCTTCAATGTGTGCATAAAGAGTGGGATATCTAGTGAGTGGAATGTTACTTAGCAGTAGAAAGTGATAATCCGCTAAGTGGCAGGACACAGAAGCTCCCCCAAAGCCAGTAGCTTATCTGTACCATAGTGAGCTAAGAAGGAAATAAGGAAAAACACCCTGTTGATAAAAGCTTTTTAAAATGTCTTAGGAATAGTAAGCTTTGGTGTCTTTTATGTAGTAGAGGTTTCCTAAACAAGTTACTAGTAAATTTGTGTCTAATTAGGTATTCAGGGACACATCTGTGACTCCAGCATGGTGAGGGGCTGAGGCTAGCCTGGGCTACACAGTGAGACCCTGCCTCAAGAAAGAAAACAAAGGGCATGGGGAGAGAAGCGTCCAAATCCAAGGCTGTCGATGCAGTTGGTGCACCCCACTGTGAATACAAGAGAAAGTGTGTGTTGGCTACATGTCTGAGATCCATCCCGATCACCGCTAGCTGCTGGCCATTCCTCAGCCTCAGTGGATGGTGGAAAGTGTACCAAGTGCTGGACTTGGTGTGGAATAGCTTCTTTAACGCATTGTAGTGTTTAAATGGTGCAGTCCCTTGAATGTTCCTCACCTTCTCCTCACACCTGAGCTCCCATGGTGAAGCCGGTTCGGGCTGGTCTTGAGCCTCCCATGGTGAAGCTGGTTCGGGCTGGTCTTGAGCCTCCCGTGGTGAAGCTGGTGGAGCTGGTCTTGAGTGGCACATCGTACCAGGTAGAACTTACTCAGCTCTCTCTGCCCACTTCCAGCTTCCCAGTGAGGACCCTGAGATCTCTGAGGTTTCATCCAAGTGCCTGTCCATCCTGGTGCAGCTGTATGGAGGGGAGAACCCGGACAGCCTGTCCCCGGAAAACCTGGAGACCTTTGCTGACCTCCTGGTGACCAAGGAAGACCCAAAGGACCAGAAGCTTCTGCTGCGGATACTCAGGAGGATGGTGAGTCGGCCCATGGCACCCACACTTGGCAGGGACCTCATTTCTCATCTCCAGAAATGTTTCACAAGTGCCTTGGCCTCCCAGCTGCCTGTTGTACACAGATGTTGTCATCTGTGACTGACATTGGTCATAGTCTATATGTGTTACGTTTTTCTGAACTATTTGAGAAATGTAAGAGGCATCATTCTTGAAGGAAGGAAGGAAGGAAGGAAGGAGGAGAGAGAGAGGGAGGGAGGGAGGGAGGGAGGGAGGGAGGGAGGGAGGGAGGAGGAGGAGGACAGACGTCTCTGGCTGTAGTAGCCCTGGTTAGGAATTAACGTTGGTTCCATTCTTCCACGCCTGCTGTACGTGTTCTACTTCTGCTGACTGCCCTGGTTTGTAACTTCAGTGACTTTTTTCCCTAGTCTAAGATACCATCCGGTGTGTTATAGTTTAATCTGGAATGGACTTGCACACTCTCTGTCTTTCACCACGTTTGGTCTGCGTGATATTTCCTTCCCATGTCCCTGAGTCCCCAGAAGCAATGATGGCCCTTGCCAGCTCACCACACTCTAGGGCTCAGTACGAACATCTACCCATTACTGGCATGTTAATTTTGCTTGCTTTGCTTACGTGTGGTGTTATTGTATATTTTAGTTTTGTGGCAATTGGAAAATGTAAATTCTGTTGCCCAGCACTATATTCTAAGGGGAAATATCGCCTTCTGTCTAATTTTCTTTCATTTCTCTTTCCTTATTTTTTAAAAAAATATTCAGCTTGTGTCTCTTTAGAGCATTGATTCTCAACCTTCCTAACGCTGCGACCCTTTCATACAGTTCCTCATGTCGTGGTGACCCCCAACCATAAAGTTATTTTCATCGCTACTTCCTAACTGTGATTTGGCTACTGTTATGAATCATAATGTAAATACCTGATATACAGGGTGTCTGAGATGTGACCCCTGTGAAAGGGTCATTCACAGGGACCCATTCACGGGGGTCCCACGTCAGTACTCTTTAAAGCACTCTTGAAGAAAAGCTTGCTTGCCTTCTCTGCTGCGAAGGCAGACACTGAGGAACACGGGCAGCAGCACATCCTGGGGGCCTGTTCAGCACATCTCTCCTGCGGCCCTTCCCTACCCTGAGGTCTGTGGCCGTCACAGGCTGGTGTGGACTTGTTCTTGCTGTGGCTGGAGTGAGTTATAGGGTCTGACATGGTTGTCAGAGGTTACCACTGCCCTGGGTTCCGTGAATGGCCTTTCAACATTGTCTCATTTGTGTCTTACGTGGTCTCAGAGAGCGGCACCCAGGACTGTTCGGGTTTTACAGGCTGAAAAGTAAGGCTCAGTGAGCTTGTGGACTCTTCTAAGCTGGGAGGTGGCAGAGCAGCATGAGAGGCTCCTAGCACATCCCAGCAGCTGCTCTTCTCATCCGCATTTGCATCCTGTGGGCTTCCATCCAAGCAGATGGACAGAACGTTGATCTAGAGCAGCGGTTCTCAACCTCCCGAATGCTGTGACTCTTTCATACAGTTCCTCATGCTGTGGTGACCATCAACCATAAAAATTATTTTGTTGCTACTTCGTAACTGTAATTTTGCTACTGTTATGAATTGTAATGTAAATATTAAATATACAGGATATCTAATGTGTAAGCCCTGTGGGGGTCGCTACCCACAAGTTGAGAACCACTGATCTAAAACACCCTGGGAGAGTCGCTCTATCGCTGCATGTGAAGCAGGGCATTGGGGTGCTGAACTGAAAAGGTCAGCCAAGGTCACAGGGCACTCCCAGTGAAGACAATGGCAAGCATAGCATGTGATGTTTAAATTATGAATGGGAGGATATGTTGGCATCACACACAGAGAGAAGAGAAAATATGTCCCATGTGAAACCCAGAGATCCCTGGAGCTCAACTGGGAGACAGAAATGGACTCAGAGGGTAGAGCCACCAGACCCAAGTTTTCATGGCATTTGAGGCTTGGAAGTGAATGTTGGAACTGAAGATCCTGCTCTCTGAGGGCGGTGGCAGCGTCTCTGTTGAATCCACTAGTCTTGACTGTGAGGTGAAGCTTGCTTGTTAGACCTGGCCTCTAATGGGCATTCAGAGTGGGCTCAGTCAGGACAAGCAGAAAACGCAAAAGCTTTGTCATCAACGGTTGTTTGTTTCTCTTCAATCCTTCAGGATCCTCCTCTTCCTGCCTCCTAGATGTCAATCAGCCTGAGGCCAGCTCTAGTGAGCGTGTAGTTAGTCCCCAGTTTGTACTCCTTCCCCACTGTGCCCCAGCCCAGGTCTGAGGTAAGATTGGACAGGCCCTGTACAGGGTTGGAGTCAGGAACTCAGCAGGATCTCCTGTGTCCCTGTAACCTGCCCATCAGCTCCCTGGACCATAGCGGTCGGGTTCCACAGAGGGACTGCCTGGTGTCCATGATGGAGTTATGGAGGACACACTTAGGAGTATTTGAGTTGTAAGAAGTTACAGAGGGACAACCTTCCCTCAAGGGTCTGTCTGAAACAAGGTCATTGGATGCACATGCTGGCCAGGAGCACATGGACATGGCTCCATATCTTTTAACGTCCTGAGGTAGGTTTGCCCTGTGGATTCAGAGAAGGCAACCCTGAAGTACAAATGGCCCTAGAAGGAGCACGTCGTGACTGGAATACTGTGGCTGTCACTGGTGGGTTTGGGGGATGTGTGGTCATTAGAAGAAGTACCCTGGCATGTCTGCGTAGGGTCACGTCTTGGGACAGTATCTTTCTGAAATCATAGTTTTCACTAACAGAGAAGCAGGCTGTTCAATTTCTGCTGATAGGTGTGAATGTGCCCCCAGGTCCTCTCCCTTACTCCGTCATGTTTAGTGTACTCAGAAAACAACATGGAACCTGTGGAACCTGAAGACCTAGTTACCTGTCTCTGTGTACCAGGAAACTGGAGGTTTTTAATTATACTTTGTGCTTTTGCTTTAAAGCTGTGGTGGGCATTCTTCCAGTCCCTCCCAAGCCTACGTGTCGCTCAACTCTAGGAGGCCTGCAGATTAGCCTCCACGTCAGTTAACTAAAGCTAGCGCACTCCAAAACTCAGCATGATGACTGCCTGTGAGGTACCGCTGACTTTCTGGGGTTAAGACTGGCTGAAATAAGGCTGCTAACAAGACGATGACTCCTGTCATCCTCAGGCCCATGTGTCTGGGGCAGTGAAGGTGTCAGGTGTGGAGTAGTGAGGTGACTGAAGGTGATGACATTAAGATGTCTCACAAGCGTCCATTCCTCGAAACATCTCTGTCCTGTGCCTTGTGCCTGTGGGGACCCGGGAAGCCCTGGGTGTTGTTGGCATGGGCATGGGCATGTCAAGGACACTAATGCCTTGAGCCTCCAGGTGAGGCTTAGAGGTGCCATGACACCTTCCTCTGGTCCAAGTACAAGTGTTTAGGAATGATTGACTAGTGCGCACAAAAACTAGCAATCCCAGGTTTTTGCTTCTAGATGAACACAGCCTGAGACTGCTAACACGCCCCCGGTACAGTGTACATAATAACGTGCTGAGGTTCTGGATTGCTGCATAGTTGGTGCCGTTCCGTCAAACACTGCCCACCTATCACAGATTTTTTTGTCTTTCTTTATTCCCTCTTCGTCTGAGTCAGGTCAAGTCCCTGAGCAGTGTAGAACGTGGCAAGTGACCACCTGTCACTTCCTGTCTGAGTTCTGACGTTGGTCACCAGGTGCCTTCCACCAACACAAGGACAAGTGTGAGCATCAGTGTCACATGGCCACACCCTCTCGGGTGTGTCCAGCTTGCAGGCCCTTGGCCTCCCAGGATGCCATGAACATGGTCCAGGCATTTCAGATGGCAGCTTCATGTGGGCAGCTTTGTGGAGCAGACGGCGTGTAGGGTTCTGTGACGGCAGGCTTGGGATCTACTGCATGTTCTTGTTTTTCTGTTTTATAACTAGGGGGAGTTGCAGAACTCACACTCACAATGGACCTAATTTCACCACAAAAGTAAAGAAATATTGTTAGAGGTATAGCAAGATAAAATGAGGTCTTTCCCTCCTCACTTAAGTGTCTCAAGCTATTCTGGAACTCGCTATGTAAACTAGGCTGGCCTTGAACTCACAGAGATCCACCTTCTCTGCCTCTTGAGTGCTGGGATTAAAGATATGTACCACCAAGGATGGGTCAGGATGGTCCAGGATGGGTCAGTGTGAGTCCAGAGAAACTGTCAAGAGCCAGTACCATTTACCCAAGTTAGTATATAGTCAATGTGAGTGTCGTGGAGTCGTGAGGCTTCTGCAGTTCTGGTGGGAGGCTCTGGAGAGTCTCCTGGGCAGCCCCCCTCCCCCACCCCTCCCTGGGCTCCATGTATGCTGGTCATGGATGTGCTGGGCAGATCTTCCTGCCAATGACTGCCAGAGGCTGCCAGTTACCTTGGGAACTCCCCGAGTGAGTTCCCTGTATCTATCTTTTCAACAAACAAAAGAAAGGAAATATCTTGCCTAGAATTCTTAATTACCAGAGGAAGACATGTTCCGGAGACTGTGTGTGTGTGTGTGTGTGTGTGTGTGTGTGTGTGTGTGTGTGTGTGTGTGTGTTCATGTGCAAGGAGTTGTAAACTTTTCCTGCATGTGACTACTCCTTTACACGTGAGAAATTTCCATGCAGCCCTGGGTATATAGGTATATAAAACAGGAACACAAATAAAATATTTACTGATAATAAGTCACAAAGAAATTTATTTTAAAACAATTATTTGGCATTCATATACGCTTATCATTTATTAATAGCAGTGTATTTGCATACCGCTGAGATGGATGGATGCCTTTATTTCTGCGTGAATATTTAATCTCAGCTGAATGTGACTGCTGGACCAGGAGCATTCTTCACATTTGTTGGGCTCCAGCTGCACTTTGGTTTTGTTATTGTCAATCCAAGCACACCTCTTTGTATTACATTACAATGTGGCAGATGTGTGTTTAGGGTCATTTCAGAAATTCTGTTCTAATCTCAAGCTAGAATTCATTAAAC